GACACACGCACACACACACACACACACACACACACACACACACACACACACACACACACACACACACACACATACACACACACACACACACATACATACACACACACACACACCCTATAAACATATACACCAAACCCACCAACGAAAGCATAAGGGTGTTTTTTTTGTTGTCTACCACACACACATACACCTACACAAACACACACCTACACACATACACCTACACAAACACACACCTACACACACACATCTACACACACACACTCAAACACACACAAGCAGTCCTCAAAATAATATTTCATCATAAAATTAATAAGAAATCTCATGGAAATTTGTCTCTTTTCAAAGAGCTTTTCAAAATTTTCTCAGTTTTGTTTTTCTTAGAAAAAAATAATATCTCATACTTCAGATGGTTTGGAAAATTTTCGTTGCAAACAATAAGACAGGTGCGGTCTAATTAATCACGTTCATTCATTAAAAAAAATAAACAAACTCTAATTAATGAAGGAATGATTAATTAATTAATTAATTATTTAATTAGACAGTGTATAAAATTTAGATAAACAAGTTCATTCATTCAAAAATAATACACTCAAACTTATTACAAATCCGAATGAATGAATGAATGAATGAATGAATGAACGAACGAACGAACGAATTAATTAATTAATTAATTAATTATTTAACTATGTATAAATAGATAATCAGGTTCATTCATTCGACAAAAAAACAATAAACACAAAACTCTAATTAAAACTCTAAACAACGTGTAAAATATAGAACTGATATATGTGAAGTTTTAGACCCAGTACCTCCAAGAACCATGTTGAAACTCCAGTCAGATAACGTTTGGCGATCACCAGAGGCATTCATACTAACAAATTTCTCAAAAATATTCTCATGGTCTTCCTGAACTCTTTTCTCTCTCACGTTCTGCTTAAGTGTATATGTTGTGTACAAAATAAAACTTTTTGTGATTTGTTTCAATATGACAAATCAGAGAATTAATTTATTTTATTTGTGTATTATCTTATCTAAACTTAATTTGATTTGGGCTATTTTATAATGAATTATTTTGTTATTTTATTATGATCTTTTTCTTAGACGAAGAATGACCCCGTGTTATTATTTCGTGCCAAGCATTAAAAATATGAAGGACAGAACATTTTTTTTCAATTTGCATTTATCATTTTAGGTGAGCGTGCGTCAGAATATCAATCCGCACATCAATTAGTTTCCTATTTCTTTCTTTCTTATTTACCTTACTCTCTTGCTTGTTTGTGATTTTTTATTTTTATGATTTTGTTTTACCTGTTACTTCCAAGTTTTTCCATTATTTTCATGCTACCCAAGTAATATTTATTTAAAAATTCATCTTCAAATTTCCACCTGGTTTGAAAAAAATTTCAAAACATTAATGTTTGAAATTACTTGTAAAGTTTCGTTTGTTTAGTATTTCATTTGTTTATTTTTATTTACAGTCTTAGTAAATATATACTAACTTTTCACTTATTTTAAAAACAAAACACTTTGCATCAAGAATTCTCCCCTAAAAATTGAAAATGTCGAAGCATTAAAACTGACATGGAAAATTAAAATTAAACTTTCATGTCGTCTGCCACATTTTATTTAAAATTTTCCTTTACAATTTTATCAAAATGGCTCTACAAGTTTTTTCATTTTCTGGGGTTTTTTTAAGTTTATCCAATTAAGGATTAGTAACTTTTGCTATATTTTAGATATTTTTTGTAAAAAAAAAATGTTTTTCTTTTCGAAAAAATGATTTTTTGAGCTTATCGTTAATTAAAATAAAAAATAATAAAAGAAATTGTAAATTAATAAATTTTTAAAAATAAAATTCTGAAAATTTCAAATAATTTTCCTAGAAAATTGAAACTAAACAACTGAAAAATGTATGGATTGAACCTTCATCAATCATTAGAGATATGATTAATGTATGATCTGGAGGAGTACCGTGCAGTAGTATTTAACGTTGTACAAACATATGTGCACGTGATAATCAAACAATCTATGTACACACACACACACACCACACACACACACACACATACGCACATGCCCACAACATTAAATTTACGACATATATACAAAAATACCTCAACATACATACTATTAAATGCACAATATTGTATTTAACAATAATACCTACAACATCAACAAAAATAACAACATGATCAACAGAGCTACCGAACCTAATAACCTACTAAAAACATGATACATGGAAACTTATTACTAACGCATTGAAAGTTTAAAACGAATAAAAAATATATAACAAATTATAAAAGCAATTTAAATGGTATTTTTAGAATCATGAAATATTCATACATAACATACATGCACCATCTAAATATACTTCCACATGCAAACACACATACTAACGCACATACAAACCTACGCATATATATATATATATATATATATATATATATATACCCAACGAAAACACGAAAACGTTAACACGAAAATTCTTGAACGTGAATCGCACCCAGTTCGCCTCAAAATTAAAGAAGCTTTATACATCTACAAGAATAAACCCGCTATGAATAAACAATTTAACACATTTGATCATAGCCTACATCTTTACTCCCAGTATAGACATGATAGTCAACAACGTGCCGTTCATACCAATATCATAGAACCACCAATGTTGCGCCACTTCGAATACGAGCCAATGCCAAAAGAAGCGATACTGTTTAATGGTGAACATGTTACCACTCGTCATAGGACTAATGTTTCCGTATCGCTGGTTTCGTTATTCGACAGTGCATCTTAACATCCATATTAGCTGTGATACATTACAATTACTTGTTTTATTTTTATTTTATTTTTTCATTTTATTTCATTTATTTTATCTTATTCCATTATATTTTTTCATAAATAGTCTATATTCCATTTTAATCTAATTTAGTTGTTTCATTTACGGATTCGTTTATTAAAATTTCTTATATATCATTATAAACTTAATAATTAATTTTGACAATTTTCCATATTCTTTCCACACATGTCTTCTTTTCACATTCAACTAACTTATTTACGTTTTATTTACATCATCCGATTTTAACAAATTTTCACTGAACTAAATTTCAGTATTAATTTATTTGTTTTAATATTTAATTTAATACTATTTTACTAACTTTTTATATACATTTATATTTTTAACCATAAATTTAATTTGTACATGTTTTGCATTGTTTTCACTAACAAAGGTTTCTCGTTATTTTCTAAATAATTTTATTACACATTTAATATGCATTCTAATTTTATAAAAATATTTCATGCTATTCTTATTTTCATAGGCTCTGAAGATGGACTTCCCGAAACAGCGCTGTTAGCCTTACCATGTCTATTGTTTTAAATAAATACGAGTTTAATAAATTCAGACTTGTTGAGTGTTCATTAAAGAAAGTCATTAATGCAAAATGGGCATATATCTTCAATGATGTTTGTATATATATATATGTATATATATATATATATATATATATGTATATATATATATATATATATATAGATGTATATATATATATATATACCAACAAAAAACAAACAAACAAACCTATACCAACCTACACAAAAAAAACAACTAAATTTATTTTAAATATTACTCTGAATAATTTATAGTTTCAAAATTTAATTAATGTGCGTTATCCCTACGTTACGCATTTTGTTGGTTTGATTATAAACAAAAAAACGCTTTTTTGTTGTTTCGTTTTGATACACATGTGTACGTGTGTGTACGTGTGTACGTGTGTGTGTACGTGTGCGAGTGTGTGTGCGTGTGTGTATTTAAAGATGTATGTATGTTATATTGTGATTGATTAGAAGTCTGTTTCAAAGCCAGGTTCTAATTTAATGGCTTTTATTAGCTCTGACATGATCTTGAAATAAAGTTTTGACACTATTATTATTATTATTATTTGTTATTATTTTCATGCTTATCATTATGAATGTTTTATGGCTAGAGGAGGATTTTGATGATTCACGCAGTGCGGACAGATTTTGAGATGGCTTTCAACGTTAAAAATTTTGATCAGCTAACACAGGCTTAACACCGTCAAATTTCTTATCATCTCTGATATGTTTTATCACTGGCTTTTGCCTTTGTCGTCGTTGTGGCTGTTGTTGCGGCTGTTGTGTCTGTTGTAGTTGTTGTTATGGTTTCTGTGTGGTTGTGGCTGTTGTAGTTGTTGATGCGGTTGTTTGTTTTGTGTCGTTTCAAATTTGTTTAAGTCGTCATCACACCTTTGTTGCGATCTTTGATTTAATAAAAAGAATAAATCATCGTCTTTATCATCGTTATCATCATCTTCATCATCCCATTCCTCCTCCTCATCATCTTTTTCGTCGTCACCATCGTTTTCATCATCATCATCATCATCATCAACATCATCATCACCATCATCATCATCATCGTCGTCATCATTACGTCATAAAGACATCAATAGCAAACTATCATGTTTCTTTTTCTGAAATTATTCATCCGCACTTAGGCTTTGAGGTAAGAGGAATGTCATTAATCGCTACGTCATTGTCCACGTCATCATCGTCACCATCATCGTCACCACCATCATCATCACCATCATCGTCATCATAATCATCATCTTCTTATTCATCATTGTCATCCTCATCTTCATAGTGGTTATTATCATCGTTAGGGCGTAATTTTTACCAATGAGCCATCATTCACAATCGTTTCAGACGTTATTTATTTATGACGTCAGAACAACAACAACAACAACAACAACAACAACAACAACAACAACAACAACGAATGGGAACAATCTTTTATTCACCAATAAAAACAATGAAAATGACAGTGCAAATAAAATAAAATTATAAAATAAAACAAAATGTCAAATGCAATAAATAGAGTATTAATCTGAGAAGCTCATAATAATAATAATAATAATAAATAATAATAATGATAAAAATAATAATAATTATAATAATAATAATAATAGAGCCAACAAAATTGAGCAAACATTACATAAAAAAAAATAACAATGATAACAAATCTACTAAGACTTCAAATGTGTTTTTTTAAATAAAATTAATGATTTAGTAAATAATAAATGAATAAGATGAATAAAAACTCTTCTAAATAAACAAACATAGAATTATCAAACGACAATCGGATGAACAAATGAACAACAAACAGACCAACAAGCAAACAAATAAACAGACTTACGATAAACGAACGAACGAACAAACGAACAAAGATATGAAACCCAAACAAACAAACGATGGAACCGACAAAGAGACAGAGATAAAAAGCATTTGTATTTTGAACAAAGTGTTTTTTTAATTAGCCCAAACAGTGCGCTACTTAAGGTGATGAATGAGTTGTTGGTAGGTTCGTTGACCCGCATCTGCCGGGTTCAAATGCAGACTCACTCCAAATTAATGGACGAAAGATTAATTGACCGAGGTGGAATAAGTGATTTATTGCAGGGTGGAATGAATAAATGAATTGTTAAATGGGTAAATTCCATGCTTAGAATTTAAATGACAGATAGGAAATTAATAAATTTAAGATTTTATCATCAAAATGTGAGAAATACTAGCAAACTATTGGTTCGAAAACAGTTAAAATTCAAACACTTTTGCCAAATTTTTAAGAATTTAACACAAAAATACACACAAAAAACGTATAAACATGTCTAGAAAACAATATCGCTTCTGAAAAACACGAAAATATATAAAAATCGCAATAAAAATCTATAGGAAAATCATGAATAGCTTTTGAATTGCAGGCAGTAAATGGAAAGTACTCTCAAATTGACCACATATACACGATACACACACGATAACAACACGCACACACACCGTATACACGCAATATAAATATTCAACACCACACACACACTACAAATACATGACATACACGCTACATACACACACCACAAAAACACACCCCGCATACGCACTATTATAGACAGAACATGTAGGAATTTTTTTTTGACGGCTTTAGTTCTATTTATTGACGCATATTGAAATGCCATTAAACAGAAATACACACAAAGGAAACTAGTAAGAGAGTAAGAGTGGAAAAGAACGCAAAAAAAAGAAAAAAAAGAAAGAAAGACCGAGAGAGAGAAAGAGAGAGTTAGAGAAAGTGAAAAATAGTCATTTTATCATATGGAAACGCATCGTTACACACACGTCATCACGCAAACTTGTGACGTCATTTTTATCAAAGACAATGTATAAAGAAACAACAAAAAGAAAGAAACGCAGAGCAACAACAACAACAGCCAAAACAACATGGCTAATACTTTTACTACTACTGCTGCTGCTACTACTACTACTAACGCTACAACTACTACTAATACGGCTACTACCGCAACATTAACCACGAAAAGAAACAACAACAATCTGTACTCTACTAGCGTTAATTACTGAATACTACTACCTCTGATGCTACTACGCGCTACTACTACTGCTACAACTACTGCTGCTGCTACTGCCACTACTACTACTACTACTACTACTACTGTTTAACGCTGTTTACTTTCTTGCTAAGTTCGCAAAAAGCAAATAAATTTAGTTTTAAAGAATATTTCCGCCCAAACCTTTTAAACGGGAAAGAATTATGGCGGGAAAATTAAAAATACGCGCACAGGCATTTTTATCCATTTTTTGTTTTTCATGATTTTATAGTTTTTTTTAATGATTTTTAATAATATTTTTTTCATAGAAACGTTATAAAGTTCATTTAAAATATTGATTTTTTGTTTGTTTTTTACATAAATTTCCACTAATCTATTATAACAAACCTGACAAGTTGTGTAAATACGATTGTCCATATCTATTTTATTAGTCATTTGTGGTTAATGTTGTTGTTGTTGTTGTTGATGACGATGATGATGGTGTTGTTGTTATTGTTTATATATCGGCCATTTCCGGTTTTAAAAATTAACGTATTTCCTGTTATAGACGGAGAATTTTGTCGGCTTCCATTATGAATGAAGTTGTATTGGTTTACGTTGTTGCTGTTTGTTCGTTTGAGTTGTCTGCTTTCGATGATGGTTTTTTTTTGATGTTTTTCAGGTGTTATATACTTGTGCATGTGTGCGTGCGTGTGTGTTTGTGATTTCATGTGGATTTGTATTTGTATTTATCTGTGTTTTTTGTGTGTGTGTGCGTGCGAGAGAAAGAGAGAGAGAGAGAGAGAGAGAGAGAGAGAGAGAGAGAAAGAGTAAGAGATTATGTGTGTGTAGCAGTTTGCGAATTTTTGTGTTGAAACTCAGCAGCTTCTTACCGTTGAAAATTAAAAATTAATCAATGTTCATAGGCTGTCGAAACTTTCATCTCATCAGGCAGAAATTTAAAATGTGAATGACTTTGAAAATTTTTTAAAAATAGAACAAAATTTAAAAGATAAATGAGAGAAGGCAAGAAAAATCTGGAAAAATTGATTTAAAAATGGAAAAAATTAGAGGTGGAATATGCCAGAATAACTAAATAACAACGTGAATGATGGATTAAAAGTTTGAATTATTAGAGAAAAATTTCATAAAAACTGATTAAAAATATAAAAAGAAAAAAAAGAAAGAGAAAAAAAATGAGTAAAATCCTATAGAGCGTGATAAGAAATGTAATTTTCTTCTCAAACTGTCTTTAACGTTGAAATGAAAAAATGCAAAAACGCGCACAACGCACAAACAAACACACACACACGACGCAATCACACAGAGAGAGAGAGAG